AGATTACTACGATAGGTAAGCTGTATATTCTGTGCTATCTTTTAAATAATAATTGGTCTGGTTTTTATGTCATTTCATGGTTTTTGGATCACTTGTCTGCTTGTTGTTGAGAAGTGTATTGACCAAACTTATTGCACAATTTTCATTGGGTTACACTTAAATACTTTTTCATTTTTACACCTGGAAATCACGGTTCTCAGTAATGTCCCATCTGAATTGCTAAATATAAAATGAATCAATGTGCAAATAGTGAAAAACAAAAAAGTGCTATATGACCATGAAGTAGTGAGAAAATGAAGATAGGTTCATGCTCTTAATGTTTTTCTGTTATTGTGTAGCTGAGGTATCCAGGTTTTGAATTAGCAAGTTTGTTCCTGTTGTTCATAAATTGAAAAGTTAAAAATGATGACAAAGTTGTTTGCAATGAAGGAATATTCTTGTAAAAGCAAAAGGAAACCATTAAGTGTTTTGTGACTCTGTCTCAGGATGTACTCCTACCAGTCCAGAGTGCCTCCTCCTCTTCCGCCCTTGTCCCACTCTGTTGTCCCCTCAAAGCGTCCCAGGGTCAGTTTAAGCCCAGGAAGGAGCCGGCGAACCAAAACTAGCTTCTCCTTATCCTCCAAAAGCACCCAAAGGACCTCACGTACAAGTAGGTCACACAGAGAGTCACCTAAGCTGTCTTGCTGTTGACTTCCATACCTAATACCAACCTCCTCCTGTTTCTTGTCCCACAGTGAAAGTAGATGATCTGCAGACCATCAAGAGAGAGCTCACACAGATCAAACACAAGGTGGACTACCTGCTGGAGAGTTTAGAACGCATGGAGAAGGACCACAGCAAGAAGTCAGGTGAGCCTGACATCATATAGAAATCTCTAGGCCTATGTCAAACAAACTCTTCCTTCCTTTCCACCTCCCTTTCTAGTTGGTGGATTCACAACACAGATGAACCTTAACAGCAACCATCAGTTTCCAATATGTGGCCTTCAGTCTATCTGTTTCTGAACTCATGGATTTCTCTTTCTGATTTTTCCCAACATCTATTTAGAGACAAAAAGCTCCAAGCCGGAGCCCGGTGAGGTGTCCCCACTACACTCATCTACCTCCAGCAAGAAGGAGGACAGCCTGAAGCGGGACAGAGAGAGCCAGGAGCTGAACGACTCCGAGGAAGAGGGAGATCTGCTGGAGGATGAAGATGAGGCGAGCCAAGATATTGTTTTTGTGGTCTGTTTTGTAGATATTTTTTGTCATGTAAATAAAGTTTTATTTTTCACTTCTTCTGTGCAGATGAAAAGCAGAGGGAGAGAGGAGGATGAGGAAGAGGAAGGCGAGCAGGAGGAAGGAGAGGACGATAGCACTAACGGAGATGAGCCCTAAACACTGCACAGGCAGACAGATATCACCACACCAGACTTGCACACAGCAGTCATGTGCTCATATCTGCTGAATTGACTGGACATTTATATAAACTGTATCATAGATATTTCTGTCTCTCACACACATGTACAAATTCATAAACCTGTCATGTACTTGTTTCTGGATTTTCTTTTAATTTGGTAATTTCACTTTCTATATGTTTGTGATGCTTTATATTTGCCTTTTTATAGATGTGTTCTGGCATTGGATAAATGCTAATGGGGATATGTTAGATTTAGACAAAATGTTACTTCAGTTTGATGAATGTATCCTATTGTATTTTTGAACTCAGAGCTATGAGCCTCGACAGTATAAAAAACAAAGGGAAAGAAAAAAGCTAAGTCCCTGCTAGTTATTGGTTTTATATGAATGGGTTGATTAGTTGCCAAACATTTTACAAACTACCACCTAGAGGTGGCTGCCATTGAAACAAAACTGGAATACAAGGACACCCATGTGTAACGGTTTGCATTTAAAGTCAGTTCTGCAACAAATACCAGATATGGTACTACAGCCCAGGTTTACTGTAAACATGCTGTCATCTGCTTCCTAACCAGCAGGTGGCAGTGTATCATAACAGCCAACCACACAAAAGGCCACAGGAACATTTGTGTTATTCACAAACAAACAAAAACATCACCTTCAGCTTATCAGATAATAACATGAGCATGTATAAAATCTAATGTAGGACTGTGCAGATGCTTCAACAAAATCCTCCTTGTTCTGAAAATATTTTTGTTTGTTGCAGAGGTGTTACAACCTTAGTCGACCTTGACTTATGTAATGCAGTGACACTCCATGGCTGTTTCTGCTGATGTTCTGTTTGCCATTTGACTGCACTGGTGAAAGTGAATAAACACATTTTCTAAGTTGCACCATGTATCAGGTTTTGGCGCAACCCACATGGAATGTGTTCAGCTGCGGGTCGTTTGTGTGATGGGTATGTGCAGATTATAAAAGGTGGATCTATGCAGTGAAATTATGGGTTGTACAACAGGATGAGGGTGTGAATTTAAGCATGTTGGGTGGGTGTTGGGTGAGCAGAGAAGACATGTTTAAGCTTGAGGTGTTCTATTATCTTGTTAGAAACTCTTGCTAGGTTGATATTACCTCACATACTTTTAGATCTATCCATCCATGCACGTAGTGTGGCTTTTAAATTCCCAGGTCTTGAAGTATTTGTCTTTAAGATTCTAAGCTTTGGGAGACCTAAACAGGAACTATGTTACCGCTGAGTCGAGCACCTGTGGGTTACAACTTCAGTCCTGCATTAGCCTCTGTTTATTCACATTGTGACAAACTTGCATCATTAAAAGTCAAGTGAATTAGCTCTTAATATTTACTGTTTGCAATGGACCTGTAAATGTACTGACAGTTATCACTGCATTACTTTGATACAAGAAAACTTGAAAATGTGGTGCTTCTCAGGCAAATTCCAGAATGAGATGCTTTGAATGGTAAGTCACACTGAATCTAAAAAGGTCTCATGTCTGTGTCCAGATTTGAAATGTCTAATTTAGCAATTAGGCACTTCAGCTTTTAAAATACATTTTAAGCGCTTTATACCTCCTGACAGTACCTTCGCCTCATGTCTCTCCCTCCATGGTCCCGTTCAACTCTCCTCACAGTTTGAAGTGCTCTGTGTCTCAAAACATAAGCCAAAGTTCCATTTTAAGAACGTAAGAAAATATGGGGGGTTGCAATTCGGATGAAATGACCTCTTAAATTACTTCTTACCTGTAGCTTGATGGAGTGAATGCTTTAATTCAATCTACAAGATAGATGTGGAAAGTATAAATTAAAATAAATCTACTTCGAGTGAACTAGCTTGTTTGTCCGCAGCTTCTTTACCAATCAGCAAGATAGTACACAGTTTTCTTATTAATATACATTATCCTGCCGAGAGTCTGCAGAGGCTTTGGAGCTCAGTAATGAATGAGAGCTGGCAGGAATAAAGAGGAATGCAAAGGGGAAGGAGGGATAATTAATAAGCAGCAGTCGTCAGGGCAAACTGTGATTAATGAGGGGACGACAGGCTGGTAGAGGGGGGCGGCTAATGAGAGTATGGTAGATAGAGGGCTGAACAGGCCACTGAACAGATGGAGAGATGACAGGAAGAGCAGCAAAGAGTTTGCGGTGTGCGGCTGGGTGAAATGGTGTAACATCTAAAGTTGGCAGAGCAGTACTTTTTGTTACAGCATCATGTAAGAACTAGTATTCGTTCTTATGCAGTGTTTTCTTGAACGGAACATGTTTATATGGACTTGTCCTTACATAAAGCATGTGTGCATTTTAAGCCAGTCGGAGCTTTTGTTTCCACTTACTTTTCAGTGCCATGAAGCTGGAAACATGTTTTTCTTAGCTTCTGAAATGTTGACTTTTTGGAGATATGCAGTTTTCACAGGACAGAGATCTTTCACTGAAGCAACAAAACTTTTCAGCATGTATCAGCAGTGGTGAATTTGTTTTCATGAGGGTCCATGAGGTCACAGGTTTGGTCCCTGTGTGCCATTAATAGTCCTAGAGAGCAAGGCATGTCCTTTGTGAGTCCTCTAAATAAAACCAACAGCTAAATGAGTGAGTGATGACAACTCAGACATCAAAATCATCTGTGTCCTTGGTAGATTATCTGCAGCATGGTAAAATATAAAGCAACTATTATGTGATTATGTGATACAGTCTCAGTGGAGCTGGCTTTTTATTCTATTATTTTTGTGTGTGCACAGGTCAAAATCACTCAGCAACAAAACAGTATGTGGTGGTGGTCACTTTGTCTTTTCACAGGAGAAGAAGCTTTAATAATATTAATCATGGCTGTCAAATCTGTTTAACACTTACAGTCAGCCATGCAAATATCAGATGTAAAAATAAAATGATGCACCAGAGTTTTGCAGGTGGGTAAAGACAAGGTGACAGAGGGGGGGATAATAAAAGAGACGAGGAAACAGGGAAGATAAAAGCATGGAATTTTACCGGGCTGCACAGAGGTCAAGGCAAGGTGAAGAGGGAGTGAGTGGGAAGGAGCTGCAAACCTCCAGGGTGATAGATCACTGACACAAGCTCTTTGTGTCACTCTGTGTGTGTGTGAGAGAGAGAGAGATTAGAAAAAGGAGTGTGAAACAAAAACAAAAAGTGGAAAATACCCATAAACTAAGCTGGACCAATTTGAGTGTGTTTCAGGAGAATCTACGCGTTGATGAGTGTGTGCGTGTGTGTGTATCAGAAGGAAAACACAGAATGAAATATGAGCTGAACATAGGAAGAGAAAAGCTGGCTGCCTGTGGGTGGACTCCACTGGGGTTTCAAACAAAACAGCCAAATGTACAAGTGTGTGAGTGTGAGTGTGGATGTATGCATGTGCATAGAACAAGCAACAGTAGCTAGAAGGAACTGTATTCTTGTTTTAAAGTTAATTTACACTCAATTCCCCGTCCGTTAACCGTAGTAATTAGTGATGCATCGGCTGCTGACACAGAGTCATGTAAGGTCTGCACTGTTAAATTATCTGTCATAACAACGAGTTTGTTTTGGTTTGGTGATACTGTACTTGTATTCATACTACTTGTATTTCACACAACGAAAAGAACGATCACACACCACCTGCTTCTCTCTGTCTTTTGTCTCTGTGAAGCTTATCATCAATATTGATACTGATCGGATTTCCACCCTTTCACAAACGCAAACGTACATGCTGTGACTTGCTTGTTGAATCCTCACATGAGTTTTACTGGCAGTCTCATTACTTTTGGTCACACTCTCATGGCTCAGCCCACTGCTCCAGCCCTCCAGAGATTTATTATAGAGTATATCACGTCCCTTTGTGAATTCATTTAAAGTTATGAAATGTGCCCATATTTTTTTAAACACTAGCAGGAAAGTTTACCCAGCACAAGGCTGTGTCTCATATATCCCTATGGATGCCCTCCGTTAGGAAACAAGTAGGCTACTAGCTGGCAGTTAAGTGGCCAGTGAACCAGCCAACTTTTCTGTTAAATTAGGTGTTGTTGTGTAAGATTGCTAGCTCGTTCAGTCAAAAGCCAGGAAATCTGCTGTGCTGGGCCGATTGTGGCTACCTCTCTTGTTAAATCTTGTCTGTCATGACCCACTTTGAAACTTTTTTTTTTTGCATGACAGAACCCCACCCCAATTTACTGTTATCTAATCAGTTGCTTATAATGTGGAGTGAAGTCACCTGTGTATATTTTAGTCTCATACTGTCTGCTGCCAGGGTTGTTGGGCACAAAAGATACAAAAGGTCAAGCCAAATTTTAAATTGCCACATTGCTTCAGCACTAGCACCAGATTTCGGCTAGTACTGGGCCAAGCTGCGCTACCTGGGAATCTCTCCTTGTTTTGTTTTTGTTTTACTTTTAGTTTTTTGCAGTGCATACAATATTTGGAACGCTAAATACACAACAAAAAAGATCACTCAGTGTCAAAACATTTAACGCATATTTGTTCGTAATAGTAGAAAGCCCCTTTTTTGGGTTCATCCTGTTGCGGCTACACTTGGTTGCACTTACAGTGAAGAGCCTGTTTGCACCGGTGTGCATCTGTGTACGTGTGTGTTTTCAATAGATTTGTGGGGTCATTGCCCTGTGACTAGTCCCACGGCTGTGCGAATATAAATGAGCGAGGAAGAGGGTTTCCACCGAACACAAAGGGGAAGGAAGGGAAGAAGAGGAGGATGAGAGGAGTAATTGTTGCTTTAGGCTCTTTTGCCTCCTGCCTTTTTTTCTGCCTGTGGCCACGTTCTGGAGGGTGAAGAAATGTTGGATTATCTCCTTCTCTCTCTCTCTTCTCCCTCCCACTTTCTCTGTTTTGCTTCATCTATTTTAATTTGTGCAACATCCCTTCTTCGTTTGCTGTGCTCCCTCTGTTTTCATGCTTTACTCTATGCTATGCTATGCTTTGCTTTGCATTATTCTCACTCTTCCTTTCTGGGTCTGACCATCAATTCATTTTCAACACACTTCATTGCTTTGTCCTGGTTTCTTTCCATCTCTGCTTCTTAATCTACTTCCTCCTCTGAAATCTTTAAATCTTTTACCATTACACATTATATCGCTGCCTTTTCCTTCAGTCTTTCCTTCTGTCTTTCTCTGGCACAGCGATTGTTGTCAGATCTGACCGTAGCCTCAGATTAGAGCTGACCCTGCCACTGTAATCATCCTTCCTGCTCCGCACAGATAATCTGCTTGTGTTCAGGAACAGATCTGCCGACCCATCTGTTTTCCATCGTAATACATTTATACATGTACGTGCACCACACTGGTGCTGGTGACTCAGAACACACTGTGCAAAATCTATACAAATACAGATGCATACAAAAGTACAAATCCTACATTCAAAATCTTAATTAAAAAAATATTAGTATACTATTTTAGTAAATACAATATGGTGTTACTTAAGTAACATTTTGAATCCAGCACTTTTACTTGTAACAGAGTATTTTTACATTGTAGTATTGCTACTTCTACTTAAGTAAACAATCTTCCTCCACTGTTATTTGGTATGTTTTGCTTACTTGTGTAAAATCAGCTCTGCGCTGCACATCTACAAATAAAAAATCACCAAGATCAGCACCACACTGCATTTTTAGTTGGTCCCACAGAACCTTTTTGTCCATATGGTGGAAGCTTACCAACTTGTTTTGTCATGTCATCGGGGCCAGAGCTGCTTTCCAACACCTCATTCATCATTTATCACTATAGCTTTAATCTCTAGAAACTGGGTTATTGGCAGTGAAGGATGAGTCTGCCTCTTTCCTCTCTAGTTCACTTTCCTGTTTGATTCTATTCCTATGTGCTGTGGGAAAAGGGGGAGGATTAAATAAAAAACAGGGATCGAAAAGAGGGGAGAGAAAGAACCAAGATGGAACGAGACTAAGAGGAAGGAGTTGTATAAGCGAGGCAGGAGGGGGACAGAGTGAAAGAAACAGCTGTGACATCACAACCACTTTAAGTAGGTCAGGCACTAAGTTGTGATGTCACTTACACTGGAATCAGCCCACTGGCCCAATCACATGCAGACACCCCCCCTTCCCCATCCACCCCATTCTCTCCAGCTGTCTCAGATTATACACTGATATTAACAGTAACTAAAACCACTATAATCCCTGAGGAGATGCAGTAACTTTCATTTATCTTCCTCATGCCTTCTTCGTCTTCATTTTCCTCCTCCCTTCAGCTTCCGTTCACAAACATCAATGCTCACCAAAGCCTCTCTACACACTCATGTGGCACTAATAGGGAAATCTGCAGCGCACATTACAGTGGAGCTGTTTCTGATGCTCTTTTGATTTTTTTGTGTCAAACAAATCCACTTGTCTTTCATCAAGACTTGGTACCAGTGCACTGAAGTCTGGGTTTGTGTATCAGTGTATGTGTGTAAGTCTCAGCAGTATTAGGCAGATATATACAAACCCTGAGGCAGAGGAGAGGGGACTGTAACATGAAAATAACTTGTACGGAGAGATAATACTTAATATGACAATACTGTAGACAAAGAAACATAACACTGTGATACAAAGAAGCAAAAAGACTTGAGAGAACATGAAAGTACTAATGTGAATCTGAACGAGGAACAGATGAGGTCAAACAGGCAAGAAAAGAGTTAGGTGAAAAAGGAAATAAGACACGATGACATGACTGTGAACTTAATTATCACCCTGTATTCACACCTGAGTGATTTTTATTCATTTATGTGTTTTTGTATACCAAAAGGATCTTCAAATTTTCACCTCATATGTTCAATTAAACAGAATAATGAACAAATGGAGAACTTCGAGGTGCAACAGTCAGCGTGGTTGACAGATTAATTGCGCCACCTTGGAATAATTCTATAAAATCAACATATTAGAGCTGATATATAAATGTGTGAATCCTTATGTTGGATACATTACTTGAAGGGAAACACTGTGGTAGTGCTTTGTCAGGAAATAAGAGGAGGATGTTGCAAAGAGGGACTGTGGAAATGCTTTGGGTGCTTTATTTAAGTGGTTTTCTGTGAAGGGAGGTAACAGGAAGCACAAGTGATTATACATTTTCAGCTAAACTCATTCAGTATAACATGTCTTAACATCTGTTAGGAGGTTATAGAGATTGCCTGTATATTTTTAGGAAAATTACAACCATGCTTTTTACAAACCTCTTTCTAAAACTGGGAGTCACTTATGTGTAATCTACTGTATCTTTTCTCTTGGACTGTGTTATGTCTTTTGTTTCAGGTCAAGTTTAGAGGAAAGACGTTCACCAGATTTTTAGCTATAAGTGGCCAGATGTTGTGTTTAGGGTAAAAGGGCTTTAGCCAGAGTTGTTGGTGTATCCACTGTTCCAATCTCATTACTATCAGCTCCCAAGATCGATAGGAGAACAGAACAGGGTGTCCAAGTCAAAGTGTCCTTGAGATATACACTGATTATCTTTTCTCTCAGTGGCTGCTTTTGTCTACTTGTAGTTCACTAATGACTTTAGAACATGACAGTGGTGGAAAAAGTACTCTTATTCTCTACTTAACTAAAAGTACCAATACTACAATGTAAAACTGCACAGTTACAAAGAAAAGTATTACAATACAATGGGATGAGATATGATGAGATACGATGCGATAGGATAAGATGGGATATACTTTATTGTAATATTTGAAATATTCACAATCCAGCTTTTGAAAAAGTGCATTAATATAATGTATAAGACTAAAAAAGTACCACAGCACAGATATTTTCATTTTTTAGACTTCTCTAACCTTTTCTTTTTTTAATACTAAATACTGTAGAGTTTTGCCTTTTTGGACCTCAAATGATTATTTAAATGGAATAATGTGAAAGGAACAGTACAAGTTCTAGCTGAGTCATTAAAAACAATTTATAATTTCCAATTTAGTTTATTTGTTTGTTTCCTCTATTGAGTTTAGTACCGCTTTCATCCATCAAAGTATTTTCAAGATTTCTCTACCTGCAGGTTAAAATGAAATCCTTACATTCAAGCTGAAATGTGCCATATCACATAGTTTTCACCTGATCCTGACAGTGCGTTACTGCCGTTATACTCACCCCAGCTAAGAGCATAATTAGACATGACATAATAAGAGTATGGTATGAGTGTAGGTGTGGTGTCGCCTAAATGTGGTCTATAAATACAAGTGCTGTTAATCACCTCATCACCTGAGAACTAAATGTTAATGTGCACTAATGGATCATGGAATGTTAACTGAGGACTATTTTGAGATGAATATGATACAAAAAAGAACAAACATATCAAGATTCCTATACAGATAAAAGATGACAGATGGACAAAGTCATTCAAAATGAGATACTATTTGTATTTCTATTTTTTTTAGGGAAAAGACAGTGTATATAAGAATGGAAAATAAAAAAGTGTTCTCACAGGAAACTGTTACAGACAAATTAAGGTCTTCATATCTGATGTAGTTCAGCCCTTTCTGTGGAGTGCATCATATAGCCTGGCCATGTTTAAGCTCTTATGTTGATTTTGCTAGAGTTAAATCGTACTTTGGAAAATGGAGCCTTGGCTGTGGGTCATTAATGTTGAAAGGGTTTTCCCCACTCTTATCTTCTTTTCCATTCATCAGTATTAACACCAGCAGGTCAACTGTGCAGGGAAAACATCTTCACGGATCACCAAACGGCCACAGACCACTGGTTGAAAACCCTTAAGTTATTGCAACACATGCACTGCTGGATTGGCACTGAAATTAGACATGTAACAAATAGCTTTTCTCTGACCTTTGGCTGATTACATGATGGACTATCCACCCATCCTGTGTTTATTTCCCAAAGGTTCAGTTATGATTAAGCTAAATATATCATCATTTTAATAGCACTATAGTGACACCACACAGGCCAATGTTTGATTGACACAGTGGGTGAACTTGATTATAAATAAAGGGTGGGTGGAAACAGCATCCTGCACAATCAGCAGTCCAGTCAGATATAAACTGTTTTGAAAAATGGAAACCTTACTCAGAATACATATAGCTTGCTTAATGTAAGGTGACTCATTTGCTGCTCGATCCTTTAGCGTATGCAGCATCGGTTAAATGCTCTGTAATGCCTGACATGGTTGTTGTTTGCTGTTCTCTGCGTGTCATGATTAACAGTATGTTTTGTATAGTGATACAGTAGGTGAATAATAATTTACTCCTCCTGCTAACCTTTTTATTGAAAGCAGGACAAAAGTCCTGTGCTCCTATGAATTACTTTTTTAAACTTGATGGTCTGTTTATTCCAATGTTGTCTGACTCAAATGCTGCCAAAAATCCCCACATACCCGCACACACATAGGTGCGCGCACACACGTTTGTTTTCATTCCTCACTGGGACTTTACATTGACTTAAAGTCATTTCCTGGAGATTTACTTTAACCTTAACCACTGCTTGTCTAACCCCAACCATTACCCCAACCTGAATTGAGTTAAGGATGCTTAGTCATGTCTTGTCCACAGCAGCAATCAGATGTTCACAGCTTCTGCTGGGCCTCTAGCATGGCCACCAGAGGGTGTGTGACGTCACCTGAAAGCCCTGAAATCCAGCCAGGCTGCACAACTGGTGGGCCAAGATAAGAACATTTCTGCTGCGCACGTCTTGCCAGTTTCTCTGAATGTATCATTTCTGCTTTTAATAGAGCAAATTATGTAACAAAAAACTGATCTGATACTGTCTAGTGAAATGGAGGCATAACGTTTCAGCATATTTTTGAGCAAGTCTGTTTTCTTTCCTTATGGCATTCACTCTGTTTATTTGGACTGAATTCACAGTGACACAGTAACTTGTCTAAATGTACATCAGTGTGGTTTGGTGGAACAAATATCTGGCTTGCTGCAGCAGGAGCTGGGGGATCATTATGTAAGGTGTTTAATTTAGGACCACAGAGATACTTTTGATCAGCCAACAATGATACTAATAACATATGGAGTGACCTTTATTCCAAATCCATCAACTCTTTTCCAAAGAAAATAGTTTGCTGGCAAGACAATTTGAAAAGCCATTATCATTCATAGCAATGAACTTGCCTCCAAAATCCTCATAATGCAAAAATGGCTATGCTAATGTATACAGTAGTAATATTTTAGTAAGAACAAATATAATGCATCTACAACAATATACAAAATAAATTAAAACAAATGGTTTATTTTTCCATTTTAAACACAGCTAGAACATGTGTAGGAAACTGCTTGGCCACCCAACAACAATACAATGAGAGTAGGGGAAGCTGTAACCTGATTTACATAATCTTATAGCTGACAAATGACTTTCTGATTCCTGGCAGCTCTACTTTGGGTTTGGTCAACAGCTTCAGCTGGAATTATATGTCATTTTATTTTCCCCTTGCTCCTGCAGTTAAAAAGCTCCGAAAACAGAATTATGCAAGTTCACTAAACAAACTGTTTATAGAAATTGCTGCTGGGCTACGTTTTTACATGTACTTTATTTCTCATTACACAGTATTAAGTTAACTTAAACTTTGTTTACTGTACACAGTATATATCTTTTATCATACCTGTTAATCCCCAATTAAAGCTACAGTATGTAACTTAAGGTAGCACTAACATGAAACTCCAAATCAGTCCACTCTGCTCCACCCAGCACTCCCTCACCCTGCTCCACTATGCTCACCTACAATCTACAAGGCTCTTCTTACACAACTTACAGGATATATTTAAAATGTAGGCTATCATATTTACTTGATCCACTTGTGGAAGAAGTACTCAGATGCTTTACTTAGTAAAAGTAACAATACCACATGTAAAAATATTTTGTTACAAGTAAAGGTCCTGCATTCAAAGTTATACTTAAGTAAAAGTACAAAAGTATTAGCAACCAAATATACTTGAAATACTAAGCGTAAAACTACCCATTCTGCAGAATTGCACAGTTCACATTAATATATATCATTTTTATCAGATAATAATTAATGATGCATTATTGTGTACATCACTTTAATGCTGGGTAGCTTGTGCATTTTCCAGCAGAAATGAGTAATATCTTGTTTATACTTTATATATTTTTCTATTAATCTTATTCTGAAAACTTACATTTATAAAATAAATGTAGTTAAGTAAAAAGTATAATATTTCTCTCTAAAATGTAGTGAAGGCCAAGTATGAAGCAGCACAAAATGAAAATACTCAAGTAAAACCCATATACCTCAAAACTGTACTTAAGTATTTGAGTAAATGCACTCAGTTAATTTACACCACTGACTTTTTGTTTTTCTAGTTTATATAATGTTGTGAATTTTGTTCTGTTATCTTACTTCCCACACATGGACCTAAAAAAGCTAATGTTACAGGGTGTGTGGGGAGAAAATTACAAGCCTTAGTGAGATGGAAAAGTTTTTGACACTGAAATGAGACTCTCGGTCCTCCACGGGACAAGGGGGCTTAAAAACAACATGGAGGCCAATTCAAGCCCATGTTCGGACCACCACACTTGTCCTGAATGGAGGCCTCATTGCTGGAGTCCCATCCATTTTCGTCTTCGTGGCTACGTTTCAAACCCAGGTGTTTTTATTTACGTCCAGGCGGGAATGCCCGTCCGCTGGGCTCAGGTCCACAAGCTAAACAAGGGTGGACTGTACCAACGTAAAAGCTGGGGGGAGGCGGGGCTAAAAAGAAAAACACACAGTTTGTCTTCGATAACGCGTCAACATTCAGTCTGTACCAGGGTAAGTAAATATACACCGCAACTTGTTTACTTCAATAAGCTAAACGGAATACAGGAACAGTAAGTTGTTTGTTGGCAGATAACTTGTTAACACTGTCTAAAAACTCCACCGCTCCATCTTGCCTCTTAATTGACCGTTCCATGTTTTTTTTCACTGTGCTGAATTTTCCTCCTGCAGGAGAAAGTAGGAAAAAACAACACTGGAGGAAACTGAGAGGAGGAAGGCACGGCGGGAAATAAAGGAGGTGGAGGTAAAAGTGAAATAGCAGGAGATTAAAGGAAAGACTGTGGAACAAGTTGGAAAGAGTAAGACGACATTGCGCAAGTGGAGAGCGAGACTTGCCACATATTTTCCCCTGCTTTTCTGTTTTTTGTGCCCAGTCTGCAGATTAAAAGGTGAGTTTGTATTATTATTATTATTATTACTATTATTATAGATGCAGACTTTCTTTGTGTTATGGTTCGCGTATGTTCTCCTAGAAACATCGGGGAGTACCCTGTGCGGATTTGGCATTGCTTATTCAACAGTCGTGCAACAAGGCAGTAAAACCTGAACAATTTGTTTGTTTGATTGTTTTCCCTGAGCGTTCTATGTCTGAATTGCGCAGGAAAATAACGTTGACCGCTGTGAATGTAAACCACCCTGTTCAGTAATGTAGACCGATGTCAAAGTAATCAGTGCCCCCCCAGTGTTTTCCTCTTTGACTGAATCTTAAACACCCTACTCGGTCCACACACACACAGACACACACGGCTCTACAAGATCCTAATATTGAAATATCTGCAAGAACAAACAGAAAAAAGAATGGTATTAATATAATTTTGCATGCATGTGAGTTTATTACTTAACAGACTCAGATGCATGCAAAAAATAAAAATAGCACCACACACACGTCTAAGAGCGAATGTGTGAGAGAGAGATTAAGTGTTGCTGACGCGCACATGTGGCATCGCCAGCGGGTCTTTGTTCCTTTTCCCTCATCTTCCGCTATTATGACCGACCCAGACATGACAGCTCACTGGCATGGCTCAAGTCTCCTGCAGACAGGATGAAAGCCATAATTGCCATCCCATTTCACATGAACTTGAACGTTAACATGAACCCGACCCTCCTCCTCCTCCTCCGTCGACTCGAGTAAAGGCGCTGCGTATTGTGGTATTTAAAACGGTTGTCCCCACAGAGCTGCAGCAGTGGCAGTCTGATTAAACAGTTTTGTATTTTAGGAGCAGAAAGGTTGTTTCTCTCTCTTAAGATGAAGGTACAGTAGATGGATTGGGCTGCCTGGAGGAGGGGGAGGATGTCAATGTCAAAGGGAGGTGTGTCCCTTGTGTGTGCGTTCACTGGCACACCAGTTTGGATTAAACCTTGGAGAAAACAATAGGGTGCAGCAATTCCATGTGAAGATGCCTTTCCTCAGAGCCTCCCGTGTGGATCTTGTAGCCTGGCGCGCGAAAGGAAAATGTTTTGCCTAAGTGCGCCGTGCCAAACCAAGGACACACACATACACACCACATTTGCGCGTACCTCTCGTCTGTCTTCACTCAGCTTCACAGACACATTTTTGTTTTGCTGAAAGCCGCACAGACGCACTCAAACAAGCGCGTGCGCAGGTTCTGTGAGCCATATAGCGCATTTGGCGACTGGCGGCCTCCCCACTGCTCCTTGAGTGAAGTGAAGCCCAGCCCCCGCTGATAACGCGCTCACGCACATGCACATGCTGACTTGCGCGCGCCCAGGTGTATTCCTGGAGTCGACATTGCTTCACTACCGTGCGTTGAAGTGATGTATGCAGGCGCGCGCAGGCTCTCCATCAGCTATGTCAGAAGTATTTTGAAACAGCAATGCAGACACACACATAGTCAGAGAGTGTATTGTGTGTCTTGGTTGAACTTGCTAGTGAGTGTGGTGTTGTAGCCATGCCTCCTCCTCCTTTAGGGACTGATTGTTTCTTAAGTGTATTCAGTATTTCAGAATAAACTCTTAAACATACTGTTTTTTAGATTTGAATATTTTGGTCACCCAGTTCTCTGCTCACCCTTGCTCTGAGCAGCACAAACAAAATTCCATCTGTGTTGTCTTCAGATGGAGAAAGAATGTGAAGAGGACAAAGTGTCAAAACTTTGTAGATAAGATCATACCTGTCACTGCTCATTCAACAGGCTCTTGGACTGTCTCTAAACACTGTTGTTTTGTGTCACCACTAATGGCTCAGTCACACAGTGGTAATTTTCTCAGCTATAACATGCTGAGCATTGCATTGTGGGATTGTTAGAAGAAAGTAGCCTATGTGCCATGGACAATACCTTTTACTAGTGATGGTCAAATTAGGCTTTTTTGAAACAATGAGGCTTTGCATCTAGGGCTGGGTCAATAAAATAGAAAAATCTCCTTGATAACGATGATAAACAAAATTTTCAGTTAATAAATGTGTATGTTATGTGTCTGAGCAACTCGCTGTACAATCACGTGTATTGAGTGGGCGCTGCATAGATTCAACGCAAAACAACACATCAAGTTTAAGTAACTTTTTTTTTTGGTCATTTGGGTGCACTGACCCTTTAACACCACTTGATGGCTGTGATTTAAGCATGATTGAACTTAAAGGGGAAGTTTGTTATTTTTAAATCTTGGTTTTTGTGTCAGTTTTGACTATGGGTTATGCTAGCGTGTCGTAGAGGTTCAGGAAACACCACTCTAAGAAAATAACATGTGCAGCACAAGCTTCCCAAAGATTTCCAAATAGCCTTCGATTCTACACCTTTATTTCAAATGCTTGTATCTGAGTCCGCACGCTATTAAACACAGAAAGCCACCCCCTGGATTAGCCGTGCTTGTGTACTTACTAGAAGGTCACAATGTTTGCTCACGTTGCCATACGTATAGACTTGATAGTGTTTATGAGAATAAGACCCAGGTTAAAAAATACTTGAAAATGTAAAATTACTTCGCAAGATTTCTTTCCATTAACGAAAGAAATTTAAACCCAGCAATAGATCCAAACAGTTGCTAGCATTAATTCTTGGACTGACAGATGATGTTACTTATAAAGTGTATGACTGTCACATGCTGCTAATTTCGTAAATGTTCCCTCTGACTCAGGTTTTAGTGAGGACACTATTACTTTGAATAAGCCAGGCAGTTAACATGTCAAAGCAGTGATTTGTAGAGTTTTTGGAGGGCCGAAAATAAACTCCTCAGCTGGTGCAGTTGCCCTGTGGTCTAATGCAACATCCCCAAGTGTCTTGTGTACTGGACAGACTAATAATCCAAGGAGATCAGATTTTTGACATCGTTAAACTGTGACAGATGGGAGCAGTTTGCTTGAGTCTTCTCTGATAAGGCCTGCAGACGTTTCTGATCCCACTGACAAAACAGAAACTAAACTTTTGTTTTTGTTTTACACATTATAATGAAACGGAAGCTTTTACTGCAGACACAGTTGATGGCAGTCAGTTGTCCTTGATTGTTATTGACCAGCCTGACCTCATTACAGACTAGTCTGTGACAGTTTGGCCTTCTGCACTCCAGGGAGTGATCAGGGCTTTCAATGCATTTTTCCTGAACACAAAGCACAATTGCCTACAATTTATGATGCTGTATGTTGGAATTATAAATACTCAGTGACTAAACAATTTTAAAGCAAGGCTGTGAAACATCAGAAAGAATAAATAACACTATACTTTGCTTACAATTGATTACATAGTCAATAAACTGTACCCTTTATTCAGTTAACTACATTTAGTAAGGCTAAAGCGAGTAAGGCCACAGCCTTATTTTTGTTTTACAAAGCAGTTTGATCTGTATTTTATGTATAAAAGTAGCTAAATAAATAAAGTTTAATATCATAGTAATTTCAGTAGTTGTATGACTATAGTAAAACACACCATATATGAGCAGGAGATGAAGTTTCAAAGCTTGTGTGGGGGAAGCAAAACTATAGAGGAGAAAATGGCAACTGTTGGTGTGGTGGGAAGCTCGCTTTCAGACTGTCACCTTGCATGCTGACTATACTAATATTAACATTTCCTGCCACAGTGTTTATTAATCCATCAGTGCTGACTGAAAGAAATATGATATGCTTGACTTGTTCAAGTGGTCATGGTTGTGCAGTGATGAGGCATGGAAGTTCAAATAAGGCATTTAACTGTAAAAATATTGAACAATGGAGTCCATTTCCTGATTTTAAAGGAGCTACAGTGATAAACAGAGCAAATATTCCACATGTTGCAGTTCTTGGAGCCATGCTAGATGCTATGAAATTAAAGATAACAGAGTTTAAAGGTAGATAAATGTGTGGATATACAACAAACTGGGCTAATAAGCAGCTATAACTGGACTCTAAAGGGGTTTGTCTATTATAGGAACCTACTAAAATGCGTTGTGTCGAATAACGCTCGTCATAGGTTCTGTGTTTGTTTCCACCGCGGTGTGTCAGATTTGGAGGTACGTTCTGAGAGCTAAATTTCAGCACCCCTCTGGAGGTAGTACTAAAATCAAGTACCAGGAACATAAGGGGCGGAGGGGGTGCGTGTGCGCAGAGCAGTTGTCGGTGATTGGTTAAATGTCTGTGTCTTCACACCTCAAGCATTAACATTACAAGAACCGTGTGAAAACACACACAGTATTTTCATTGACCAAAACAAGACAAACTGAAATGTTATAATGTTATTTCATCTCGTTTAGTCATGTTATTATTATTATTTTGCAGTATTTCTGTTTCCTGTGTCTCGCTTCAGTGGCTGTATCCGGTTCCACTGCGCAGACGCAGGCAACGTCACTTCCTTAACCACCACTCACGGCATTATTTAGAAGACGTCAACAAACAAAGTTAAGTCTGACACAGAGAAAGGGGCCGATGGCCGGCCAGCCAGGGTTCATCATTGGGAGAAAAAGAAGAAACGACATTTGGAAAAACTTTAATTACATAGAACTGGAAAAGAAAACGGAATGTGTTGTGGAAAAAGATGGGGAGAAATGTGGCCACAAAATCACACAAAATGTGTATTGGATGTATTCTTGAGTCTATAAAGGTAACAATAATATAATAAGATAACCTTGTTTGAAATGGGTTTGGCTAAAAGAAACTTTTGGTTTCGTCTATACTACTAGGTACTGATACTATATTGACTGCGTTAAATAGAATTGCATTACTAAAAAGAGACTAAAATACAATTTTCATTGACTAAAACTAGACTAAATGTCATCAGTTTTTGTCGACTAAAGCTAGATGAAAATAGTCATGGATAATTCTGACTAAAATAAGACTAAAATGCTCAGACTTTTAGTTGACTGAAACTTGACTAGACTAAAAAGAGTATGAACGTGACTAAAACTAAAATGACAGCTTCACACAAAGACTGGACTAAAACTAAAATTAAAACAGGCCGCCAAAACA